ATTTGGGGTTAACTCCATAGTTACTGGCTTTAAAAAAAAAGTTTTCTTAGCACTTCATACACGTCATACAGCATGTCATACAATTCAATATTTCAATAATATCAAGAAGAGTTGTACTGACTATCTTTAGAGTCAAAGGTAGATGGAGCCACCTTGAGTAATACTACTCTTCCAGAAAACTGGGAGCTAGAGGGGGGGTTTTCCCATGTGTTTGAGGAAATGTTCTAGACTTACATTCTTTTCAAATAAACAGAATAAAATGACAAATTTCTAAAGTGAAGTCTGAAAGAAAAAAAAGTGGGTGTCTCTTCCTTTTTGTTGCCATTGCCATCGATAATGTGGGTCTCCAACTACACACAGTGACAAGACAGAGAAGTTAAATGGTGCACCAGAAAGTGGCGAAGCAGTTGTAGCCCAAAAAACAATAGCCAGTCTTTTCCGGCCTTCCAAATCAGGTACAACAATGGATGTTGCCCATGGAAGAGAATTCTGGGAAGTGTAGTTTCCTTGGTCCTGCAGACACAGTACAATGCTATCCTATCAGGCCGGCACTGGCTTTTTGAAGCAATTTGACTTTCTTGCCTGTTTGGGATACTTTGAGAAAAGCAAAAACATAGGTAGTTTTGTGGTTACTGTTTTGAGACTATTTGTCATGCAAGTTATATTTTTTGAAGAGTCTTGATTTCTTTGTATATGAGGAAGTAAACTTATCTCTTTTGTATCCTCTGTCTCTGCCATTGGTATTCACACACCAAACCATTTTAGTCCAATTTATCTTCTTTACTAATAAATGTTTTTTTCCTTCCATTGTAGGTCTGGAACTTTCAAAGGCCACAATATCAGCCATTATTATCTCAAATTTATTCCACGATAAAACTTGGAATATAGTTTTTCATTAATTGTTCCAAATATAAATATTAGCAACACATATTGCTGCTTGATCTCCTCAGGATATCAACTGTAAGCTCAGGAGTGCCCAGCTCCCTTCACTTCTGACCTGCTGATTCTCACTATTCCCTTCTGTTTGATAATTCAACTGGAATGACTCACAGAATTCACAGAAAACACTATACTTATGATTTCAACTTTATTATAAAGAATACAAATCAGGAGCAGTACAAAGGAAAGTATATAAAGTATATAAAGGGAGGGTTCCCAATGTGAAACTTCAATGTCCCCATAAGGGAGGGACTATTTTTCCTATTTCATTAACTAGAAAGCCCAGTGTCTAGACTCTAGAGCTTTTATTGAGTTATTACATAGGGAGATGATTTATTGAACCAGTCCTCTCCCCTGGGGTCAGCTGATACCACTAAGTGGTCTTACCTAAGTCACTTAATTAACATACCCTCAAAACTCACTCATTGCCATCAAGTTGATTCCAACTCATGGCAACTTTATTAGTAGACTGCCCCAGTGGATTTCCTATACAGTAAATCTTTTTTTTTTTAAATTTGAGTTGGGATTTTTTTAATTCATTGGGATTGAATATGTATATCACATCACTCTATCATTCAGTCACGTCAAGTAGATTTGTACAATTTTACCACAATCAGTTTCCAAACAGTCTTTTTCTACAAGGAGTCCTTGAGATCATCTTCCCCCTTAAAATTGTAAATCTTTATGGTAAGAGAAAGCCTCCTCTTTCTCCGTCGGGTTGGCTGGTTGGTTTCAAATGCCTACCTGGTTAGTAGCCCAACTTGTCACTCACTATGCTACCAGGCTCCTCATAAACTCTCAGGTGAGGTCAAAGAGCTCAGGTGTCACTGTCAGGTAAGCCTTGGACTGCTAACCACAAGGCTAGGTTCAAACCTAGCAGCTGCTCCTCAGGAGAAAAATGCAATTATCTGTTCTCTGTGTTGGTGGCTATGAACCCAAATGGACTATTTGACGTGAATTTGGCATAGATGTGGTCTGAAGGCCTAGAGAATTACAAAAACCAAACACAATTCTGACTCTTATCAGCTGCTCCTTGGAAGATATCAGAGCAAAGATTTACAGTCCTGGAAATGTTAGGGAACAGTTGTATTCTGTCCTTTAAGTTTCAATTTTTGACCTTTCAGTCAGTAGTCAAGCACTTGGCCACTGTGCCACCAGGACTCCTGATAACAAAGTCACATCAATTACTCAGGAAATTCTAAGAGTTTAGAATTCTTACTCAGCAACCAAGAGTAAAGACCAAGTTATTTTAGGTAAAGGTAATGTAGAAGCATCCCTGGTGCTGCAGTGGTTAAAGCATTCAGCCGTTAACAAAAAGATTGGTGTTTTGAACGCAGCTGCCGCTCCACAGGAGAAAGATGTGGCTGTAGTGTTCCTTAAAGATCAAAACTTGGACACCCGATCGGGTGCTTAGACTCAGTCCTACAATGAACTGGAACTGACACATTATCAATGGGTTTTTAATTTAACTTTAATATGGAGCTCTTGGATAGAGGCTCAAGTCCACCCAAAGGTACTGCAGAAGAAAAGCTTGGTAAACTAAAAAAATATGAACCATTGAAAAACCACAGTTCACACACTTATACTCTGACACACACGGGGCCTCCAGGAGTCAGCATTGACTTGAAGGTAATTGATAATAATGTTAATATAAACACACATCGGAATATTAAGCATTTTTGAAAGTTTGGAATATTGAATCACTCAAAAATTGCATTAGATTATAGTTTATTAAAAACTAAGTCACCTCAAAGAAGTGTACTTGTAATTTTTCACTTAAAAACAAATAAGGCAAAATGTTAACACTTTTAAAATGTGTTAACTATAATATTCTGCATGTTTTAACAGCTATATTTCTAAAAAAATAAAGCTATTGAGACAAAGATGTGAGCTGCCCCCTTCCTCACACTTTTTTATTCAAATGAAGTTTTCTGTCCTGAGGTTCCAGAGGCAAATATATTAAGCTATTTTCATTGAAAAACTCATAATTGGACCAAAAACCTGACAACTTGGAATAAAGATAAGGACCTCATTTCACCAACATTCACCCCAATTTCACTAATGACAAAGCTAAAACACCATTTGCTGGACCCAGTCTGCCAACACTGCCCTCCTACCTAGTCTATTTACAATCTGTTGCTTTTTTTATATTTAATAATCATTTTATTATGGGCTCGTACAACTCATCACAATCCGTACATACATCATTTGTGCCCAGCACATTAGTACATATGTTGACTTCATCATTCTCACAACACCCGCTTTCCACCTGAGCCCTTGGTGTCAGCTCATTTTTCCCCCTCCTTCCCACCAATGTTTTTTTTTTTTTTTAAAAAGACAACTCTGTTAAAGTGTTGGGATGTTAATCATAGGATTAGCAGTTCAAAACCACCAGTTAGACCAGTAGAAATGAGGCTTTCTAATGCCTTGAATAGTTAAGTCTTAGAAACCAACAGGGGCAGTTCTATCCTGTTCTTTGGGGTTGTGCTGAGTCCGAATTGACTTGGTGGTGAGAGAGGAAAAAAATCCGCCATTGAAAACCCTATGAGGATGATTTGCAGTGATCTGCAGCTAATTGTACAACTTTGCTTCCATCTTAGTGCTAACACTTATCTTGGCCTAATAGATCACCTGGTCTTGATTACACTTGGATGACTTATGCTCTAGCTGGGCAATTCAATTGGCTTTCTCACTTCCTTCATTTTCTTCTCCCTAATGGTAAAGAGGGAGAGGCTTTATGAGCCATCCTTAAAGACCAGTTTATTTTGGGGATGTTGAGTACGCCTTTCTGCAACATGAGCATCTTTCTAAGGCTTATTGTACACCTTTCTGCAACATGAGCATCTCTCTAAGGCTTATTAAAAATGTGTATCTATACCTATCTGGCAGAGGAAGTACCACGAGCAAGGAGGTGGTTTTCCTAGGTTGAGGCACTCGAGATGTGCTGACGCCTGCGATTTCCCCAATGTGGGAAACTCAACTGCTTAATTTGTGGTAGTGGGGGACTGAATTCATGCTCTCTCCTGATTTCTCCAAAAAAAAAAAAAAAAGTTCTTAAAAAGTGTATAATTTTTGTAAGACCAACTTTCTGTAATTTAGCAATTTTTTTCCTCTTCACGTTTGCACCTCCTTCTGACAATGGCAGCATTTTATTGCTTTTCTGTAACAATTTCTTTAGAAACTGTGCTGTCTTTATGGTGTTCCACTCACACGTTTCTAAACGTTTAATTTTTCTGGTAGTTAGGAATAAATCTTTTGCTTAACCTGTCTATGAACATTATTTTCTATCTTCTTGGTGACGGGTGTTCCAAGAACCAAACGGTCGTACAGCCCTAGAACCTCTGAAGAAAAGCTGCTCCACTGCTCGGGCAGAGGAGCCCCACTCAGTCCTTGTGCTCAGGTGTTGAGTCTGCCAAAGACACTAAACCTGCTGCTTTACGTCCGTCCCAGGGCTCAAAGACGCCTTTCCTGTCCCTGATGTTGCTTTCTTTCAGCAAAACACCCTCACGAATCTATTCAGTCCTTGGGTTATTTTTTACAGTTCTCAGAGGGGGAACACCCAAGCAGTATCCTCAAGGGGACCGTGGTTCACCTTCCTCCTCACACTAGGGTGCCTGTTAGCCCCACCGATCCTCTTCCCCAAGGAGCCCAACTTCCAGGGCACGTATTCCCGCCTAGCTCTCCCTAGGGGCCTAGGCCACGGCCCGCGTCCGTTGGCCAATCGCAGCCTCAGCGTCTGGCGTGTCACAATGGCGCGCTAGCGGCCTATCCTCGTCCGTCTCCCAGGAGGCCCCGCGGGCGGCCAAGCTCCCCAAGTCGTGTCGCCAGCGGACTGAGAGCAGGACAGGCCCTGAAAGACAGTCAGAGACAGGGAACACTGCTCTGGTCATTGGGCGACAGTACCCCTACGTCGCCCCTCCTCTGGCCACAGCGGAGTGCCGCGGCCGGAGAGCCAATCACTGCCTCCGCTCCGAAAGCGTCACAATGGCGACCTCGTGGTCCCGCCCCCTGGACGCCCGCCGTGGAGGCCCCGCCCAGATACCGCTCCGCCCCGGCATCCGCCCCGCTGCGATCCTTTCCTTCTTCCGGCTCCTTGGTGGAACCAGGGCTGCGTCGTGTCTTACGGGAGTTGAAGGTGAGGACTCGGGAAAGGGACGAGCCTGCGGTCTAGGTCGCAGGCGACAGACGGGCGAGGGTACAGGTTTCCAGAGCTGCGACTCTCAGGAACCGAGGGTGTGTGGCCGAGCAGGGGCTGGAGACGCCGAAGGTAACTGGGCCTCCCGGAAGTGCTCGACGCGGCTAGAGTAGTAAGCTCGTGCTCACTTGCGCATTTGGCACCGCCCCCTAGGGGGACCGCCTAAGCGCGCTGGCAGGGGTTTCCATGGTGATGGTAAACAAGCCTCAACTGCCTCTAGTACAACCGCCAAGCTCCCCATGTTCCACTTTGCTCTAGGTGCTCCGGTGGGACGAGCGAGCGAGGCACCCGATGTGGAGAGCGGGAGCGTGAAGCCCAAGGTGAGCGGGAACCAGGGGAGGGACAAGGTGGCGGGCTGAGCGCGTACTCGGGGGCGGAGAACGGGAAAAGGCGTGGGGGCCGCGGAACTGAGGTTTGATGGGGGGCGGGGTCTGAGGTCAAGGGCGCTCACCAGGGGACGGGGTAAGGGGTGGGGACTAGGGAGATTTAGCAATCAGGGGGCGGGCTCCGTGCCCGGGCGGGAAGGGCTCGAGTTCGCCGAGACGCAGGCAGTGTGCAGAAACTCGCTGGGGCTGGCGGCCGGCGGCGGGGCGCGCTGTGGAAGGGTGAGTGGGAGCCCGCCATTTCCAGCGCCCTGGGCGCTAACCAGGAAAAGTTATCTTCTTGAGTGAAAGCGGTGTACTTCGGCTTGGGTTAGAGCACACCACCTTACTCGGCGAGGAGCCATTTTTTAGCCCTTGAAGCCGCCTTTTTCCAGCGCCTTAGGCCTGTGGTGGTTCGGCGCCTTCCGTTTCTGTCTTTCCTCTCCGTGGAGGTGGGTGTTAGGGGATGTTTCCTTCTCCTCGTGACTCCGGTTTTGCCTTGCCTTTACTTTGAATCTTAGAGTGCTTTCTGTGAAGTACGCCCCGCTCGTAAACAACAAAAAACTTCCCGACTCTGCCGGGCCTTCATTGGCGCGGGGCTCGGGCTCTCCTTCCCGCCTGAAGCCGCGAAGAGCGGTTTCCTTGGGGCCCCGCTTCCGTTTCCTTGTTCCGTTCCCTCGCCCCTGCCCGCCCGACGCCGGCCTGCACGACCCCGCTCTGTGACCCTGGGCGGAGCACCGCCCCGCCAATCCCCGTCCCGAAGTTGGAGGGGCCCCTGGCCGGCCCCCCTGGCCGGCGGAGGGCTTCCTGCGCTTTTCGCAGGCGAGCCCCGGGGGCCGGGCCGGCCCCGAGCGTGCTTTGGCGGCCACAGGCGCCTCTTGGCTTTGCGCGGGGCTCTTGGGTCCTAGGCCCGCTGTGGCTGCTCGGGAGCGCCGGGTCGCGCGCTCGGGTCTCCCTCGCACCGGAAGCGCTGCGCCGCAATCCGGTGGGGGAGGGGAGGAGGCGCCAACCTCGCCGTCTCCTCGTGGCCGGCGGCGCAGTTGGTTTCTTCACCGAGGCGCGCCTTTTTCCGGGGGATTCGGCGGAAGCCTCCTGTGGAAGGTAACGCTAATAAGTCGGCACTCGCAGTAGGAATTTAGTTCCTAGTTTTTACAACGAGTGGACCTGGAGGGCGAGGGAAGTGGCGCGTCTCGGCTTCTTAGGCGAAGTCGTGGCGGCCCAACCAGAACCGGACGGGAAGCGGCTGGCCCATGGAGAGTTGGAAAGTTACAGATAACCTTTTAGTTAAAAAGCCGTAGGAACGGCTCGTCTTAATTTAATCATGACTTCTAGCTTGTGGTTTTGAAAGCTAACGTTGAATTTCTAATCAGTGAAAATGCCTCAGTAATTAGAGAAGAGGTTAGTTAATAAGGATATATACCAGTGAAAAGTTGCCTTAGCTATTATCTTCTAGCCAAGATTAATTTTTGTTTTAAAGTAAATTTGCTTAAGTAAGCTCACCCTTCGCATTTGTCCTCTTTTGTTGCTGTGTTTTTTAAAGAAATTGCTATTTACATTGGTGTTTCCCTTTTAAGGGAGGGGGGACGGACGCTGACGACGACGACGCTGGAACGACCTAGGGAGGCGCAAAAGCAGGTGCTCACTCACTCATGAACTTGGATAATGGGCTAGTACAAACGTTTGGGGGGAGTGGGGAGAAAGGACCGTTTAATTTTTTTCTGAAAGGGGCCAGTGAGCCCCAAAGTTTGGAAACTTAAGATTCAGATGTTAGGATCTTTTTATTTCCTCATTTGGTAATTTTACTTATTTTAAAATTGTTAGTTGCTTTGGTTTCCACTTAGGTGGTGTTAAAAAGCTTCCCATTAAACAAAAGACCTACCTGAAAATGATTTCCAGGACCATTTTGCCCTCCACTATGACCAAACCTCGAGCTCTTGCTGTAGAGGATTGGGGAACCAGCTCGTGGTGTTGGATCACTATAGTTGAAGTGAAGAAACCATGCTTGAACTGTCTGCTCTTTCTAGAGCCACATCAACTAGGTTTCACGACATTTTCTAATATGTTCATTAGCAGTCTGGGAGAACAGAAATTTGCCAGGGACACAGCTTAATGAGCCCTTTTTTCCCTCTCATGAGTGTTCTTTTTGATGGGCAAATGGAGATTAGAGTTCTGCCTGGCGGCTTATTGCAGCAAATCCAAAATATTTAAAAAATATTTATTCATTAAGTGTTTCAGCTTGTATTAATAAGGACTCTAAAAAACAACCACAATTCTCAATCACACAGACATATCCTTGATTCCAAGTGCTCATTGTTCAAAAAAATGTCTGGCTGTGTGATTTTATAGATTGATTTTAATTGAAATCTAAACAAGGTTATTTTTAACTTAGAAGCACTGTCCAAAATAAATAGAATGCAAGCCACAATTTTTTAAATTTTGTGAAATTAAATGACACATTGTACATCACCATAATGGAGCCTTACTTATATTAAAAGTAGTTTTAAAAAGAACAGTTAATTTACAGCACACTATCAATTTTACAGTATTAATCTTCCATTGTATTTTGTCAACCAAATCCAATTGTCCTGAGTTCCCCATACTCTGGGATTTTTTTTTTTCCCCCAAATGCACTTCTGTGGGGCTCTTTAAATATCTGTCCTTTAGATTTTCCTTTTAAAATGCTGGTTAGCCGTAAAGGTTATGATGCCCCAAGATCTTTGGGGGAGAAATACCACTAGAGGTGCTGTCGAGGCACTTGGTTTGTGTTCTCTTTTTTGATGCTGGCAGCCACTGATAGTCATTTTCTAGATGACTAGTTTGCAAATTAGTGATATTTTTAGTTATGTATTAATTTACTGGTATAAAAGGCATACTTCTATAGAGATTTCTTTTATCAATCGTTTGATTAAAATAGATTTTATATTAAAATACAGGCTTTTATTCTTGTTTGCTATTCTGTCATGATGAATTGGATCCCTACTTAGCATGTACCAAAGCCAGCCACTGATTTTTTCCTAATATAAACTAGTGGATTTTACCATATCACATTAATTGTTGTGAAATAATTTGAAGTTGAAAGCATCTTTACCAGTTTGTGATTGAATGATCAAGTACCCTTGCATCCTGGAGTAAATCCAATCTGGTCATGCTAGCTGTATAATTATTGCTTTGCTTATTTTTAGATTTGGTGTACTACATCTGAATTCATGATTGACAACTTGACTTGTAAAACTTAAGCCAATTCTAAAACTAGTGAAAATGGAAAACCAACTCCAGGTTGACTAGATACTTAATGTACAAATAAAACGAAGCTTTGCAAAATAAACACAAAACATGTCTTTGGGATAGATCTCTAACCTATCCAGTTGGCTGCTGTCAAGTTGATTCTGACTCATTGTGGCTGTAGGACAGGATAGAGCTGTCCCATAAAGTTTCTAGGACTAGATCTTCAGTGGGAAGCAGTATGCTAGAAACCTTATTTCTTTCTAGGGCAATGGTTCTCAACCTTTCTAATGCCGCAACCCTTTAATACAGTTCCTCGTGTTGTGGTAACCCCCAAATAGTATTTTCGTTGCTACTTCGTAAGTATTTTTGTTACTGATATGAATCGGGTGACCCCTGTGAAAGGGTCATTTGACGCCTTAGCCTTAATCTCAAGAGAGACTGATTACACATGATACTGGTATGTCCTCACTTAAAAGGAAAAAGTCCTATTAAATAGATGGCATCTACGGGTACAGGGGATTAGGATTTACAGCACATTTGTAGTGGGGAGGAGGAGGCACAGTTCAATGGGTATGATTTGTCATGCAGGGATGATTTGTCATAGCTTAACTGGTTTCTAATATGCTTTACATGATGTTTGGTTAGAATATGCTAGGGAAAGATTTGAAGTATGAGAGGACATCAAAAAAGGGTGGAAATGGAGATAATAGAATTTTGAAACCCTCTCAAAATACTGAACAGTTGTATTCATTTTTTTATTCACATAAAATGTATTACTTTTTTTTCTCCTCCCTCTGTCTCTCCATCTGTTAGTAAAAAGAAGTCTTTCTCCCCTGAATCATCTTAGCTCCCTGTGGGAGAGGGGAGGGGAAGAAGCAATGTGTTGCCATTAAATGGATTCTGATATACAGGATTCCTGAGATTAAATTATCTGGAAGTAGACAACTTTATTTCCCTGTAGAGTGACTGGTGCATTTGATCAACAGTCCAATTCCTGTCCCACAGTCCCACCAAATATCCTGGGTCAAAAACAATGAAGCTATAAATCATAGTAAGGTTTTCTTTTTGGAGTTTCATTAATCTGCCTTTCTCGGTAGTACTCTGCCTGAAATTCACTGCCATTGTGTCTATGCTTACTGAGTGACCTCTAGGACTAGGACTGAGTTTCCTGAGGATATAACTCTAGAAAAGCTCCATCTTTCTCCCTAAATTATTACTACACAATCTGAATGATTGGGAGTATGTGCTAATAGTACAAAGCTTTTAACATGCAGGTGATCCCCGCCCCCCCCCGAAAATAAGTGGTAGGCCAAATAGTGTTGTTTTTAGATCTTTTCAGTGTTTCAAAGCAGATGTCTGCTGCCATTTTATTTTAGTTTTATCTTAAGGATATAATCTTTTCCAAAGCAGTTTTTCTTCTTTAAATGTAATTTTACCTACATGATTAGAGGGACAACTGAGCTTAATTTAAGATAGCAAAAAATGTTCTCCTCCTGCTCCATCCCCCGTTTTTCTGGGATTCCTATTAAAAATGACTGCTCATAATGCCCTTATAGGAGTAGAACTATCCCTGTGGTTTCTAAGACTTAACTCTTTATAGAGCTCAGACAGAATTCCTATTACTCACATGTTATTTCTCCTATCTCCTATACTGTATTAGGTCCTACAACTCTCATCTCCCATAGATAGTCTTCAGGAAAATCTACCAGCTTTTAAGAAAATTTGATATGATTTTTTTTTATTCTTTGTTATAAATATTAGGTAGCTTGCAGTAGATAATATAGTGCAGTGGTAGCTTGTTCTTTGTAGAGAAACGGTTCTGTTAATTTCAGTATAAGCTATATACTATTTGTTTTCATGAGAAGATACAGGAAGAGTATATTACTCTGGATTTAGCTA